GAGCCAGTGATGTACCCACCTGCACTGCGTGGGCCCTGCAGTGCTTTGTGCTGCCCTGGCAGAGCTGCGGGATGGGATGGGATGGGATGGGATGGGCACAGAGCCTGGCAGAGCTGCAGGATGGGATGAGATGGGATGGGATGGGCACAGAGCCTGGCAGAGTCACGGGACAGAACGGGCATGGAGCCTGGCAGAGCTGCGGGATGGGATGGGCATGGAGTAGGACAGAGCTGCAGGATGGGATGGGCACAGAGCCTGGCAGAGCTGTGGGATGGTCCTGGAGCCAGGCAGAGCTGCAGGATGGGATGGGATGGGCACAGAGCCTAGCAGAGCTGTGGGATGGTCCTGGAGCTGAGAACAGCCGCAGGATGGGACGGGCATAGAGCCCAGCAGAGCTGCAGGATGGGATGGGCATGGAGCAGGGCAGAGCTGCAGGATGGGCACAGAGCCTGGCAGAGCTGCGGGACAGGACGGGCACAGAGCCTGGCAGAGCTGCAGGACAGGACGGGCACAGAGCCTGGCAGAGCCGCAGGACAGGACGGGCACAGAGCCTGGCAGAGCCGCAGGACGGGCACAGAGCCTGGCAGAGCTGCAGGACGGGCTGCATCCTCTCCCGGCTCTCCTGGGTGCTGAGGGACACCCTCACCTCTGCGGCCCCTCCCGCCGGGCGGGCTGGGTGGATGCGCCGCTTGCAGAGCCATTAACATAATTTTATGCACTAATTTGTGTAATCATTAAAGAGTGGAGCAGGGCATTGTTCACATGAGTAATTACCTCTATATTCTAACAGTTCTAATTCATCCCTTTAGTGAGTTTCGTGTTTCAGTGACTCAGCCACGACTCACGCTTCGGGTCCTGTATTTTTTTCAAGAAATGCCCGTTTCTCGCATGACTCGGTTGCCCCCTGCGCTGCTGCTGCCGTGCCAGATCCTGAGGAGCTCGGAGCACGAGGATGCCGAGCTGGGGAGCTCTGCCAGCGTGGAGCCGGGGCTCTGGGGCTGGCTGCATCCCACGGGGCGCTTGGCTGCCTGGGATGCTGCGGAGAGCAGCTGCCAGCGGAAATTTGAACACGGAAAACTTGGCAGTTCGCTGAACTCTGGGTATTTTCCTGCTGACAAAAGGCAGGGCTGTGTTTTCGTCGTGGTTTTTGATACGAGGTGAAACATGGGGGAAAAAAATTCGGCCGCGCAGGCTCTGGAGCCGTTGATTCTCCATCCTCACACGTGCGTGTCTTTACAGTGCACAGGGCTCAGGCAGGAGGGAAGGCGTGGGGAGCATCATTTTCTGCCTGATTTGCAGGGTGACACAGGATATTTTCCTGACAGCGCTGAAATTAATTTGAGGCAGAGCTGCCTGCCACCACCAAAGGTCTTGTTTCCCCTTGGAAAGATGGAGCAAAGTTGGTTCCTTGGCCAGTGAGAGCAGGGATGCTCTGCCCGAGGCTCCTGCCAGCGCTGGATGCTCATCCCTGTGGGATCAGCTGAGCGATGCAGATGAATGCACAAATATTGATTATTTCGGAGGCAATCCATAGCTGCCAAATGAGATTAAACACCACCCAGGTCCCAGCAAAAAAAAATAAAAGTAAATAGCAAAGAATAAAGAAAATGGGGCACGGCATTGGCAAATGGTCCTGGGGGACCATCTAGCCGAGTATTAATCCCTGCCATCCCCATCCCTGGAGGATTTCGGAGCTCTCTGCTGCTGTTAATCGCGGCAGCCCTGCAGGGAAGGTAATGCAGCATTATCCGTGTTTTCCAGCTGTGGCTGGGGAGGGGGGAAGCGGCCGGCTTGGCCGAGCTTTGCCGTGTGTCAGTGAAAGATCAGGGATTAGCGTTAGGATTTCCTCGCTGGCTGGGCTGCTCTAATTCAGTGCTCGTGTTTTTCCCTAAATGCGCTGACCTTACGTGCCTGCTGCTGTACATCCCGTGCCCGGGAGAAGCCGGGGCAGATGGTGGGAAGGGGAGCGAGGCAGGAGCGGATGTTTCCCTGCAGTCCTCGGCCCCGCAGGAATTATTACTAAAAATGGTCACTGGTGATTAACCAGAGCAGTGCGCTGCTAAGTAATTGGTGCGGGCTCTGGCTCGGGAAGTTTTTAAATCAAACTGGGAAACAGTTTTCCTGGAGAGCAGCAGAGTTCAGCGGGTTCAAAGGCAGAGTGCCGAGGGCAGCCCGGGCAGGGGGTGAGCAGGGGTCGGTAGCACCTGCCAGGAGGGCTCTGAAATGTCCCATGAGACAGAAAAAGCTGTGATCTCCTCGTGTCTGTGCACACCCTGTAAATCACAAGGACACACAGGAGCTGTGGCTGCCCCATCCATGCCTGGAAGTGCTCAAGGATGGGGCTTGGAGCAGCCTGCTCTAGTGGAAGGTGTCCCGGACCACGGCAGGGGAGTGCAACTGGATGGTCTTCAATATTCCTTCAATATCCCTCAATATCCCCTCAATATTCCTTCAATATCCCTCAATATCCCCTCAGTATTCCTTCAATATCCCTTCAGTATCCCTTCAGTATCCCTTAAATATCCCTTCCCCTTCAATATCCCTTCAATATCCCTTCAGTATCCCTCCAGTATCCCTTAAATATCCCTTCCAGCCCAAACCATTCCAAGACCCTAGAGTTTGGCATTAAGTGTGGGCAGTCCCCACCGTGTGACACCAGCGCCCAGCCCCGTGTGCGGCTGTCCCGGGGTGTCCCCACCGTGTCCCCACCGTGTCCCCACAGCGGCAGTGCCAGAGATGGGCACGGGCAGTGACCCTGCGGGTCACACCAGCAGCATCCCCGGGCCCGGTGTGACAGACGAGGGACGGCTCTTCCCCCCGTGGGGCGCAGATGACAGCGGCTGTTTTATGGGAAAAAAAAAATAAAAATAAAAAAATAAAAAAAAAAAAAAGTTGTGAGGGAGATTACCAAAATAACAACAAAAAGCCGCCGGGCGCTGCGGCGCTCAAGGTGCCAAGCAGAGATTAGCCCAGGCACGGCGGAGGACAAGGAGGTGGCAAGAGATAAGGGCACTTCCCGGCGTGTGCCCGCAGGGCTAAACATAGAAACAGAGAAACGCAGAAACACAGAAACAGAGAAAGATAGCCCAGGGCTGCTGTCCCTCGCCCGCCCGGCCCCGGATAGCCCCGAGCCCCGGGGACAGGGACAGCCCCGGGGACAGGGAGAGCCCTGGGGACAGGGACAGCCCCGGGGACAGGGAGAGCCCTGGGGACAGGGACAGCCCCGGGGACAGGGACAGCAGGCAGCGATGGGTTCACAGGGCGGCAAAGATCAGGGAGGATGGGGAAATCCCAGGGAGGCAGCAGGGGTTTGCCACGGCAGCCGGGCTGAGCGGGACAAGGGGATGCGGGAGGGGAGAAAGGGCTCGGGAGCACTGCAGGGAAGGGAGGGACCGGTGCAGGGCAGTTTGCCACGGGAATGCTTTCACCAGGAATGCTTCAAGCATGGAGTAACCGCCAGGCTTTTCCTGCCTGCCTGGCGGGAGCATCGCCCGGCGCTGGGGGAGCCCTGGCATGGGGAGAGAGGTGGGAGCTGGCACCCAGCACCAGCCGGGGCTGTCCCTGGTGCCACAGCGCCTCTGCCCTGGGCATCCCCCTGCCTGCCCCGGCTCCCCTCCCTCCTCGGAGCTCGGGCTAAAGGCAGCAAAGCGGAGCAGGGACTGGGGACAGGGACAGGGACAGGGACTGGGACAGGGACTGGGCCATCCCTGCCGAGCCCCAGCACAGCGCTCCTTCCCCGGGAGCAGCTCCTCGCTGCTCCCCCGCTGGTCGCCGTCCTGCCTCTCGGTGCTCCAGCCGAGCTGCCCGGTGGTTTCCTGCCTCCTCTTTCCCTCTTTTGGAAAGTGAAGCGGTCTCTCGGATGCGCTAATTACGAGCAGGCTCCGGCGCTCTCGGCAGCGGCAGCGCTCCTGCCGAGCCCCGGGCCCGGCTGCCGGTGGCCCTGGCACGGCCCGGGCAGGACAGGGCACCGCTGCCACCCTCCAGGATGGCACTGACTGCGGGCAGCCATCCGGCAGGAGCTTCTCCTTCTCCTTCTCCTTCTCCTTCTCCTTCTCCTTCTCCTTCTCCTTCTCCTTTCCCTTTTCCCATTGCTTTTCCCTTTCTGTTCCCATTTCCATTTCCCTCTGCCTAGCAAATGTGTTGTCTGTCCCTGCAGCACCTTCCAGCCCCGTTTTGCTGCGGGTCAGGGATGCTCGTCCAGCAGGAGCTGGGCAGTGGGAGAGCCTGGGATGCTCTTCTGGGGATGCTGGACCATCCCACGGTTCCTCCCGGCAGGCACGCTCCGCTTCCACCCCTGATTCCCGCCGATGGAATTCACTGTCTCTGTTTAGTGTCCCTGATCACTTGGAGAGGGAAGGCTGCGAAGAGAGAAACCAGAGAAGACAGAACTTGGGAAGCGGCTGAAGGGAAATTGCCTGCGGGGAGCACATTCTCAGCACCATCAGCGCAGCTTATTTACACTCTCGAGGGCTCTCCAGCCCCACAGAGCTGCGAAATTCAAAGCCCGCGGTGGCACTCAGAGCACGAACAGAAAAAGGGGCTCCCGCAAAGCTGAAATATTTGCCCACAGTTTTCGCTGTAAGCGGTGCGAGCACACGCTGGCCCAGCAGAACCGAGCAGGGGCTGCCGGCACCGGCTGCGGCACCGAGGGACAGCCCCGGTGCGGGCCTGTCCCTGCGGACTTCCACCACCAGCACCGGAGGCAGGAGACACCCAGCAGCATTCCTACCAGTGTGGGAAGTGCCAAGGGAGAAGAAGGAGGGAAGATTTGAGTTTGGAAAGGCAGAAAGCGCAGCCTCGGGAGGGTGGTAAATGGGCCACACGGCTCCCCGTGCCCTAGAAATTCCCTGTGCCTGCACAGCGGGGTGGCTGCTGATGCTATCGCTGTCCCAGCTCCATGACTAAGGGAGCTGGAAGGTATAAATTAAATAACACAACACTTCAAGCCGCCTGTTATGTGGGTTTGTCCTAAGCAGCGCTGCTTTAATTAAGACGGAGAGTTTACAAATCTAACCTTTGTTTATTCTGCTTTGGGGCATATATAATGTAAATACGTGTTTTCAAACACTGCGGCTTTTTAGACTTCCAGTTATAATTCTGTGCAAAGGAAAGTTCGTCAGGTTTGGCACCGACTTGCCCTTTCTAAGCAGAGCTGCTGCGAGTCCTTCCCCCCGGGGATGCTCGGCCCGGGGCTGCGGGATGTGCCGGGCTCCGGGAGGGGCTGGCACGGCCCGGCCCGGCCCTGCCGACAGGGAAGCGGGTTCCAGCTCCGTTTCCCCCTCGTCTGGCTCAGCTGCGAGTCTTGCAGGTTTTGTTCCCGTGTCCCCTGTCGGAGCTGTAGCTGTGAAAACAAGAGCAGGGTTTAGGCGGCTACGTGCTGGTCGGGATTTCTCCGATGAGTCAGTGATACGCTTGGGTAGTTTTCTTAGCCTTTAATTGAAGTGAGTGTGAGCCCTTAACAAAGAGCTCTCCCAAGTCTTCCTTAATAAGCGTTAACAAAAATAACCGAGCGGCCGGGAGGGAAAGAACCAGGGGTGGCAGTGGTGTCCCCTGTCCCCGAACGAGGGGTTCCTGCGGCTGGGAGCAGGGCAGGGCTCGGGGTGCAGTGCGGGTGATCCATCCACACCACGGCTGGGAAAAACTCTGGGATGAGCAGAGACCATCTGGTGGAGCGCTGCACCGGCAAACCCCCTTGGCTCCTTTTTTTTTTTTTTTTTTTTGGTGTTCTTCTCAGTTAGGAGCTTCTGCAATATTTTACAATTTCCAGCGCTGTGTATCAGCGCGGAACTCTGCTGTGGTGCAGATTGGGGGGGTCAAAACCAAGCAGCTCCACACTCCCTGAGGCAGATGGACCCTTGGAGCTGCAGGTGCTCCCAAGCAGGCTGGGCCACTCCAGGCAGCCAAGCCCACACCTAGTCACAAACTTCCCTCTGGGGTCACAGGGCTGAGAAACTCTTTTTTGTTTCAAATGCAAACACATTTTGACATAACCACTTGACTCTGGCGCTGGAGTATCAAGGAAAAAAAAGCCTGAGAGGCGTGAAAGAACCGCAGGCATCTCTCGGAACAGAACAGCGACTGTTTTGCAACGCTCTGGGAAGGTGAAGAACAGCCTGGGGAGGGCTGAGGAGCAGCGCTGCAGGAGCCAGGTGCCCTGCCCAGCACCGAGCCAACAAAGCCACGGCTGAGCCAGCGGGCTGCGACCCCCTGGTCCCTGCTCTGTCCCCACTGTCCCTCCAGCTGCGGCTTCAGGACCGGCCTTTGAGTTATCTGTAACAGGAGACAAGAAAAACCACCCGGGTGTCCCACACGGGAGGAAGTCACAGGGGCCAAATTTAGCCCTGCACGCTGCAGCCGGGGCGCCTGGGCCGCCTCTTCCCGCTCCCGTGCCGCCCAGGGATGCTCAGCAGGGATCCAGGCCTGAGCAAAGAGGATTGACCAGAGCTGGGGGAAAATAAATAATAAAGCGCTGTAAGCCTGTTCTCATCTCCCCACTGCCAGGGAAGGCGAAGGGAGGTCGGGATTAAACCCCCCCTCCTGTGACAGCGCTAAACCTGCCACTCTCAGGTGTCGCAGAAATGCTGGGCGTCCCTCAGATGCCACCTGAGGCAGGGCACAGATGTGCCCCGCATCCCTCCCTGTCCTGGCAGCGCCAGGGAGGTGCCAGGAGCCGTCCCTGGGCCCCGTCCCGCTGCCTGTCAGGGACGTGCTTGGTGTGTGTAAACACGTAATTAACGGTACGTATGTATTTAATTGCTCGTGGCTACGATTTGCATGCGTGTGCTGCGCCGAAGATGCCTCAGGTACGGGCGGATCCACTCCGCCGGGCCCGGGAGGTGCGCGGGGCTGTGAGGGGTCACCGCACCGCCCGAGCCCCCGCGGGCGGCGGGCCCGGGGAGCGGCCGGGGCCGGCCCTCCTGGAGCCCGGCCAGGCGGGGTGCGAGGCAGGGCCGGCCCGGGGAGGCGGCAGCAGCCCCGGAGGGCTGAGGGCGAGCCCGGGTGGGCTGAGGACGAGCCCGACTGTGCCAAGGCGGCGGCGGCGCCGGGCGACCCCCGGGGCGGCCCCGAGTTCACACCCCCCCGGCCGCCCGGGCCATCGCCGCCCCGCCGGGGCGCCGCGCCGCCGCCTCCCCCCTCTGGGCCGCAGTGGTGCAGCCCGAGGTTAGCGGAAGCGGCCGCTCGGCGCTGCCATGTTGAGCCGCCGCCGCCGCCGCCGCTTTGTTGTCGGCTCCATGTAGCTGCGGCCCGGGGGAGGGAGCGACGGGGGGACCGCCCGCCGCAGCCGCCGCCGCCGCCGCCCGGGGCCGCGCCGCCCCCGCCATGGAGGCCAACTGGACCGCGTTCCTCTTTCAGGTGAGGCCCCGCGGCGGCGGCGCTACCGGCCCGGCCCGGCCCGACCCGGCCCGCGCCTCACCGGCCCCGCGGCTCCGCTTCTCCTCCTTCCCTCCTGCACTTTCTCCCTCCGCCGCCGCCCCGCAGCGCGCTCCCTTCCCGCTTTCATTACAAACCACCGATGTTCGTATTTATGGTTTATTTTTATTTTTTTTGCCACGCAAAACATGAGATCGCGCTTGATTTTTTTTTTTTTTTTGGTGTTTGCTTGTTTTTCTCTCCCCCCTCGTCCAAAGAGACAAACAACAACAGAAAAAAAAAAAAAAAAAACACGAACAAAAAAAAAAAAAAACAACCCCAAGCTTCCACCGGGCTCCAACAAAACCCCGATGGAACAAACGCCGTGTCTGGGAGAATAAATTAATCCCTCTTTAAACAGCCTGACTCAGGGCCGGCTGACGAGGGAGCTTGTTTTCTTTTAAAATAGGACGCGAGCGGGCCGGATTTCTGTAAAAACTGGCGAAATCCTAACGGGAATGGGGAGGAATAGGGACGGTGGAGCGTGCAACCCCTCCCTTTGCCAACTGAGTCACAATTTTCCCCCTTTCTGTCGGTGAAAGACTGACTTAAAAACACCGCTGTTTATGTAATTCCGAAGAAAATCCAACGTACCAGCAAAAAAAAAACTAAAAAAAAAAAAATAATCTTTGCCTGGCTTTTGTGAGCCTCGCCAGCTCTTTCTCACCAGATTGTTTTCTGCTGGATTTTTTTTTTTTTTTTTTTTTTTTTTTTTGCGCTGGAAAACATAAAATGTGTGATTGCAGCAGCAGCAGCGGAGGGAAAAAAAAAAAAAAAAAAAAAAAGCGCCCAGCACATCACCTTTCTCAAGGTAAAATAATCCTCTTTGCACGTTCCCGGTGGCGGCCGCTTGCTTCCTCACTGTCCTCCCCGGAATTAAACCCAGACCCAACCCGTGACACGAGTTTGAAAACCTGAGTTGAATGAATAAATCCGCCAAGAGCGAGAGCACCATTCCTTTAGGGAGGAAAAATTCGTCCCTTGCAAGTACCAAGGGATGAGTCACTCGCTCGGGTTCTCTGCCTCGGAAAACACGCCGGGAATGTTCCGGGGAGCCGGTACCGGGAGCTGGGCGCTGGGTTTTCCGCCTTTTCCCCACGGATGCGGGCGATGCCATCGAGTTGGGCTGAGGTCTGGTGAATTATTTCTCACTCTAGTGGGCAGTTGTGATTCGCACGTAGGAAACTTCACGCTAAGAAGTTAATCTCCTTAGTTTAGGGCCATCTCCCTCCGAGCCGGGGCTGCTTTAGTGCCTCGCTGCCTCCCAGCTGAGCGTTTTCCAGGGGAAATTTTTCCTAGGCTGGCAGGACTGTATTGCAGCAGGCTGAGAAATGCCAAGTAATGCCTCAAGTACGTGTCCAGCTCCTCGCTGCTCGTCCGTGCTTTTCTGAAGGTGCTGAGTTTTGAAGTAGTGATGTCACACGCTGATTTAGGAGTCAGCTTTGCTGCTTTTAATTAAAGAGTCAGCAGTTCGCTTTCCGAACGTGCGACTCGGAAGCATCTTCATAAAACTGTGACGTGGAAATTTTCCTCTGATTTTTTTTTTCCCCCCCTCTCTAAATAATAAAGCTTTCAGAGCTCATAATAAATGCTGGATATTGTTTCTTGAGTGCTTTTGTTAGAATCAGTGATTTGGGGTGCACCCAGCAGAAAGCAGCACTGAGGTAGTCCTGATGTGACTTTCATTTTTCTTCTTCCCATTCCCGCAGCAGCACATCAGCCCTGATCCAGCTGATTAGTTAAAACTAGTTAAAAAGCGTGGATTTAAAAGCCTGTCCCCAGTGTCGGTTAAATAACAAATGGAAATGACTGAATATTCACACTTGTTCTTCCTGGGGGGAGTGTTAAACCAAGTGTGCGTTCCAGCTGGGACAGGATTCCTAAGGGACAGCTTAATACGTGGAATATGAAGTTGTAATTTTTAGCCAAATGTTTTTAGAGGAGGTTTTGATGTCTTAATTTTAGTCCTGTGGCAGTGGGCTGTGCCACTGTAAACCGTTCCTTCCAAATAAAGTTGTTTGATTGTTTTTAGGTGGCATTTTGATGAATTGTATCCCTTTCTAAAGAAACAATCGCGCTACTGAATAAGCAGTTCTTGTTTGGATCTTCTTAGTCCCCAAAATGCATAGTTGGAAAACCACTTTGAGGATGTGCTCGGGAAGTGAAAGTTGTATCTGTTAATGTGAGGAGGACTCATCCATCAGATGGAGTGTTCAAGATATGACTCATGCTAATTTGTTGCTCTCACATTAAGGCTGAAGCACAAAAATATTTTAGCCTCTGGCATTGGAAGTTCACAATGCCACATCCTACACTCTGGGTCATGAATTGCAGGGTTTTTTTTTGTTTACTGCCCCCCCAGGAGAGAAGGAATTAGTGACAGAACAAGGGGATTTTGCAGGAGAGCCTGTCCCAGGCCATCAAAATATCTCCAAAGTGTTGACTTGACGTTAATGCTGGGTCAAGTAAAAAAGTAAAACCGTGGCTGGAGCCTGCATGACTGCGCCTGCCAGAGGCGTGCAGCAGGTGCTGGCTTCCCTTCTCCAACTGGGAGTTAAAAAAAAAATGCTGGCTGATCCTTTTAAAAAAGGCTTTAACGGCCCTTGGAAACTGAGGAACGCAGCTCGTGGCAGAGGGGCTGCGAGGAGCGCGGTGCTGCGAGCAGTGCTGGCTCCCTCGGAACCAGGATGAGCAGACTTACATAAGCAGCAGCTCCAAAGCCTGTAGCTTGGTGAATGTGCATTGTTTTATGTCCACTGTCTCCATCAGATCTGTAGGAATAAGTGCATCATTACCTTGAAGTGCTGACGATTCTTTGAGGCATAAAAATATCCATATACTGCCTAAGTTTGAACCTTGTCCAAAGGATTTGGGCTCTCCATTATCTGATCTGCTAGCTCTGCCTTTGAAATTGTATCTCTGGAGCTATCATTAGGTGCTCTGCAGTGTCTTCTGGTGTGGTTTAACAGTATTGTTTAATGCCGATTTGAAGTTGTAAAACATTTCAGAATTTTTCTAAGTTAACATTGTCTTGAGCTGCACAACTTGCTCAGTATTGTGCTGTCGGTGCGTATCCTGCAAACTCTTATTTTCATGCAATGTAGATGTGTCAAAACCTTTTTGAAAACATGGAAAATAAATGGTTGAACATCCACGATTGTCACTGAAGTCAGGGAAAAGTTTAATGGAGCTGCTGGGGCTCGTGCCGTGCCCTGATTTAGCAGCGTCGCCTCCAGGAGAGTTCTGGATGCAGCTCTTCAGCAATCGCTCCCTGAAACAAAGCAGCCCTCGGGCTGTTGTTTGAGGTGGCTGCTGTGGCCAGGCAGGTGTGCTGATATCCAGCCTACCTGTTGCATCCCGAGCTTCAGCACAGACGGATCTAAAAAGCAGATACAGATGGACAGCCTGGCCTGGCTCCTAATGATTCCCACAAGTTTTGTCTCCAGTTAGTGTCCGGAGTCCAGGCTTTCTCCTGTGAACTGTGTTCCTGTCACATAGGCTTGGAGTGTTTGAGAGCTTGTATTCCTTCCCACGTGGGTTAGTGTTGGTATCCACCCATGGCTTTTCTCCAAAGATCACCAGCATCACGCTCCCAAAAAGCGAGATTGGAGTGATGCAGGAGCTGCACCACAGCAAGGGAGAGATGCTCTGGGGGGACTGTGGTCCCTGCTGCGATCCAGGCAGGCAAAGCACCCAGGATACAACTAGGAAAAAGGCCCAAAGTGAGCTTCTGGAAATACTGACTTGTCCAAAGGACGTTGAAGTGGATTCCCATGGGAAGAGAATTAGCCTGGGTGCACTTCCCAGTACTGTCCACCCCAACCGATGTAAAAGTAGACAGGTCAGGATTGTGCACTGGCACAGTGTTTTATTCAGCTCTCACACCTTTGAGTCATGTTACTTTGAGAGCAGAGCCATAGGAAAGGAGTCCTGGAAGTACTCCTGTGGTACTGATCTAATGGGAATGCAAGTTTCCCCAAACTCAGCTTCAGGCCTGGCACACTGCATTAATAACGAGCCTGATTTAAAACTGGTCTGATGAGACCGAGGCACATCTTGAATACAGATGCACTTAAACTGGCTTAAGGTGCTGGAGTGATTTATTTTAATGCTCCATTAGGCTGAATTGGTCTGTGTGGTTTCTAAACCACATTAAAATTGTATCTGCCAGGGTTTTGTCCCAGTCTGACTGGATGAGTTTTAATAACAGTGTTTCTGCCTTAGAATAACCACGCGTGGTGCAGCACAGCCCGTGGCAGGCAGGCTGCAGCTCAGCTGAGCGGTGCTGGCTGCGGGACCCCCTTCCCTTCCCTGTAGCTTCTGTAACAGATTCTGTAATTCAAAGTTAGTTGGTATTGGCTGCTTTCAAACAGCTTTCAGGGTTTATTCCCAACACCCCGAACCGTGTTCTCCAGCATCTCTGGATGTCTCCCAGTGTGTATCGATCAGCTTCTCTTCCCAGCACAAAGTAGCTGCTGACGAAGAGAAAAAGGCTGTGCCGCTATTCTTGTTAGTTCCAGACGCAGAGAGCACAGTGGTCAGTGGATAAATGCATCAGGAACCTGCTAAATATAGAGATGTGGCTTTAGACAGCTCCCGATCCCAGTTGCTTTGGTTTCAGTGCTGGCACGGGGGTATGAACACGCTGTTTAAATACGACGCCTTATCGCATCCTGGCTCTCTGTGGCTGCGGTTCAGTTCTCACTGTGCACTAAGCTCGGCTTAAAGGTGGGGCCTTATTTTGCAACTCCTGTCAGTGCCTTCATCCTCTGCAGAGACAGTCCTGTTGTGCCATCTGATACGATCATTAGCAAAATGAGTTATCTGTTATGTAAAGATGAAATGCTGTTATTAAAAGATCTGACAAGCACCTAGTTGTCTTCCTTAAAAAGTTGCCCTCCAGAAACTTAATAATTCCTTGATGGTTGTGCTGTGTCCTACACTTAGCACAGGGCCTGCACAGCCAGGGCATTTACAGCGCGAGCGGTTTATCTTGTCCAAAACCAGCATTATGTAACCTTCCCCTGTTGTTCCTTCCGTGGCTTTTGGTCTAGAATGTGCTTCCCTGTCGTTTGTAAATGTTCTCACCGTGCCAGAGCGAGCACCCATCCAGAGAATTTAAGTGTGAATGTTTGGTTTTAGGCACACGAAGCCTCCCATCACCAACAGCAGGCAGCACAGAACAGTTTGTTGCCTCTCCTGAGCTCTGCTGTTGAGCCGCCCGATCAGAAGCCGATTCTGCCCTTACCAATAACGCAGAAACCTCAGCCTGCAACAGAAACATTAAAGGATGCTATTGTTGGGATTAAAAAGGAAAAACCTAAAACCTCCTTTGTGTGCACTTACTGCAGCAAAGCTTTCAGGGACAGCTACCATTTGAGGCGTCACGAGTCCTGCCACACAGGGATAAAGTTAGTGTCACGGCCAAAGAAAACTCCCACCACAATGGTGCCCCTTATCTCGACCATCGCTGGTGACAACAGCCGGAGCTCACTGGTTTCGACTATCGCAGGCATCCTGTCCACAGTCACTACGTCTTCCTCTGCCACCAACCCCAGCAGCAGCGCCGGCGCCACGGCCATGGCGGTGACGCAGACGGTGAAGAAGCCCAGCAAGCCCGTGAAGAAGAACCACGCTTGTGAGATGTGTGGAAAGGCCTTCAGGGACGTGTACCACCTCAACCGGCACAAGCTGTCCCACTCGGACGAGAAACCCTTCGAATGTCCCATTTGCAATCAGCGCTTCAAGAGAAAGGATCGCATGACCTACCACGTGAGGTCTCACGAAGGTGGCATCACGAAACCCTACACCTGCGGTGTTTGTGGAAAAGGCTTCTCAAGGTACCACGTAGCAAATCCCAGGCATGCTCCGCTGTTGGCTTTGCATGAGCAACAAGGGTTAAGCTGTGGTAGTGAGGAGCTGGGAGAACCAAACTTCTGAGGAGAGTGGTGAGGGGATAAAGAGCCTTGTGTGCAGTTAGGGTGGAGGAGTCTCCATCTGAGCAAGGTTAACAGTGGCCAGAAGTGGTCTCTTTTTCAGGAAAGTGGTTTGAAATGGTTTCTCGACCTCATGCAGGTCCCATGTGTGTCTGTGTCACTGGGGGTGGGCACAGAGCCCCTTCACCAGCCTTTGCCATGCTCTGTGACCAAATGGGGCAGGGCAGGGAAACTGTCACCTGGTCTTACAGCAGGGTGGAGGGCACTAACAGCACAGGGGGAGCTTGCACTGCTGCCGGCTCTGTTTGTACCTGTGCTTGCAACAGAGAAAACTTCAACCTTTAGAGCTGTTGCGCTCTCACCTTTACACAAGGTGTGACCAAACGTGCCATTTTCAGGTGTGTGAGGAGAGCAGAGTTAAGCTTTAAACCACAGGTTGGTTTTCAGCTGTGAGGTGTTGCAGGTGAAGCTCCTGGTAGGTGAGGGGAAGGGGTTTATCCTGGCTGTCAGAGGGATGGGGGCTGCAGGGAGCGACCAGCTCGGTGTCAGCTCTGCTGGCCAAGGTGTCCTGGCTCTGTGTTTGTAACAGTGTGCACTTTTCTCCTGTTCCTCTCTTTCTTGCAGGCCTGATCATTTAAGCTGTCACGTTAAACATGTTCACTCAACAGAGAGACCCTTCAAATGCCAAGTAAGGGCTAAAATGGTTTATTAAGAACAATACCTTACTGTGTCAGTGGTACTCAGGTGAATCTCTCCAGAGCTGTATTTACTCCTGGACTTTTGAAAAGCAAGTTTAGGAGTAAAGCCACATTTGCCACCATACCACAGTGCTGGAGTTCTGGTGGAACTTTAAAAAGATACCACGGTTCCTTTTTTAGGAAGATTAGAGGCTTTTTTCTTTCTTGGAGAACAGCATAGTTGCTCTGTTTTACCATATGCTTAACTTAGTAGTAGGATTGTAGCAGCATCCTCAGCTTAGTGCTCATTTCTGGGTGATGTGTGCAGTGTGTTTCTCAGCATGTTCAAATGAAATGTCTTTCTCAGCACATCTATTTAAAATGGGTGGGAATGGTTGATTCTGGATCTCTTATTTTGCTGGAAGGGGAAAGCAAGTTGTCCTAAGTTGATGACTGAGTCTAGGAGAAAAAATTTGATTGCCCTTGAACAATTAACTGTTTTGCTTGGAATATCCATACTTATTCCAGCCTGTTTTAGTGACTCATCTTATTAAATAAAAGCCTTGGGTAAAAAGAACAGTGTTAGGAAAAGGTTTTGTTTCCTTGTTCTGGATGGGAGCAGAAGTAATTGAGCAGTGTAAGGTACCAAGTTCATATTTGTACAGTAAAATTACATTAGAAACCAACTTTGCCTATTGTAAGTGTTTTTAATAAGCTCCCTCTTGCATTGGTGGGTAAGGCAACCCACTGTTTTCAGAAAGTTCAAGCAGTGTAGAATATGATTTCTGTCCTGATTGTCTCAGAAGCAAATTCCATTCTGAGTCTCCGCTGAGTAGTTTGATTTTCGTTTCTCTATAAACACAGGTAAAACTTAAAGTTGTCAATGCACTTAGGATACTGTTAGGACCTGCCAGGTAACGTGGGCTCCCAGAGGGCCTGTGGGTGATGCTGTGCTGCTCTGTCTGCCCCTCAAGTGTAACTTTGTCCTCCATCTAGACGTGCACTGCTGCCTTTGCCACCAAAGACAGACTGCGGACACACATGGTGCGCCATGAAGGAAAGGTATCGTGTAATATCTGTGGTAAACTTCTGAGTGCAGCATATATCACCAGCCACTTAAAGACACACGGGCAGAGCCAAAGTATCAACTGTAATACCTGTAAACAAGGCATCAATAAAAGTAGGTGAACGTTTTACAAACATTTCTAATAACAATGTGTTTGCGAAGGGAATTGCCTTTGATGACGTTAAACTCGGCTACGTGTCTGTCAGTCTGGGTGGTCACACCTCTTAAAAGTAGATCTTTAGTAACAGAATGTGCTTCAGCTCAAGAATTGGCATGTGTGGAGTTGGTTTGCTGCAAGACTGTGCTCTCATCCCTTGTTTGCTGCAAGACTGTGCTCTCATCCCTTGGGAATGCCCTGCAGTTCATGACAGTGATCCATCTCTTGAAGAAAAGAGTTCCCAGCTTTTCTGACCTTTTAAGTTCAGTGCTAATTCCTGAACTGTGCAGGTCTAAAAGTCCAACAGATAGCCTGGAGATTTTAGACTATTTAAGAACTGCTAAGATTTGCCAGGTTTTAGATCTGAAGCCTCATCCAAAGCTCATCAAAATCAGGAGAAAGATTTCTCTGCTTTCTCTGAGCTTTGACCCTGGGGCTCAGTGTTTCCTCCCTTAGGCAGCAGCTGACAAGAAAAGGATTTAAATCCAGCCCTGATAGGTTTTGGCCATTAATGGCATCTGACTGGTGTTGTGCAGGAGGTCAGATGAGATGTTTGTAATAGCTCCTTCTAGACTTAAACTCTGGACCTGGGAATGCCTAGCAAGCCAATGAAGACTTGACTTTCAAATTTTCCCTATTGTAATACTTGTAACTTAAGTTAACCCCACATGGTTAGTAATATAAAACGGGTTTTCAGAGGAATAAGAGGCAGAAGTAAGGAATGTTGTTGGAAACTTTGTCCTTAAAGCCTTTAAAGTGTATTCATTTACAACATCTTTGCAGTTCCTGTTACTCCTGTATAATTTGAAGGTACTGGGAATGTCTGAAATGCCTGATTGTTGAGCTTAGTAGGAAATTTGGATGTGAAGTATTTTTCAAGGTATAGACTTACAACTCTGGCTTCCCAAGCCAGTTTGGTGGTGCTAAGCCAGTTCACATGAGGCATTTTGAGCAGTTGTTAGAGGTGGAAATGATGAGCTGTACTGGGGCCAGAGAGTAGTGACAGGCTGTTCTCTGATGTAAACTGAAAATTTTAAGTTATACTTGCAATAAAAAGTAAAAAGGCTTTTTTAATTTTTCATTCTTAAGCTGGAGCTAAAGTTTAGAAAAAGTGGATTCAGTTTGAGTTCTAGAGGCTAATTGGAGTCTTTCATTCTTCCTAAATACAAACTAAATAATGACAAAAGTCTGGTTTTGGCACCTAAAGTAGATGTTCTTGACTTATGTTTTGGTTTTTAGCTCTTGGAAAAGTAGTTTTATGAAGCACAGAACTAATGATACTGTTTTAAACACCTCTGTGATTTTGTTCTTGGAATCCTGTGAGATTCCACGTGCTCTTTGTAGAAGTTGCCTTTGTGATGCCAGCAGAAAACAGAGTAACTTTTCAAGGTGAATTTGTGTTCTTACTTGATTGGCATAGCATGCATGAGTGAAGAGACCAGCAACCAGAAACAGCAACAGCAGCAGCAACAGCAGCAAGTAACAAGTTGGCCTGGAAAGCAGGTAGAGACCCTGAGATTGTGGGAAGAGGCCGTCAAAGCCAGGAAGAAAGGTAAAACAAACCAATATTGACCTGCTTGGGTTTGTGAGACCGGGGAGTTCACAGTCATACAGGGAGTTTGAGGTGTCAGGAAGGATGTCTTGCATGACAGTTTCATTCTTAGAAGTCATAGCTAAGAGAGAGCAGGAGGAAACAGGCCCCAGAGGAGGGTGTGTTAAATGATGTGCTCATGACTTGCTCTCTGTGCTTGCCTGTGTCCCTAGAGCCATCAGTTACAGAGGGGAGCTTGTGTCTGCTCCAAGCAGGAGTGGGGGAGTGACTTGCATGTGGCTTTTAGCTGTGCTTGTGCTTGTTTACCCTGTTCAGCAGTCTGCACACACACACACACACACACACACAGACACACACCCTCTGCCCTGCATCAGCACTGGGGTGCACGTGTGTGCTTTCTGTGTCCTGTTCATCTTGTCTCCCCCAATTTATTCCATCTGCTCTATCATCATGTAACTGTCTTTGCATGAAGTTTTCTAGACCTCAGAGCTTTCTCTCTCTTTCTCTCTCTTTCTGTCTGCTGCTTTGTTTCATTACAAAATGAGGTAATCAGTGATCCTGTTTCTCATCAGTGCTGGCTCACAGCTTACCTCTACCTGTGCTGCTGTAATTGAAGTGGGATTACTGTTGTTGGTCATTGCAGGGAACAGATTGTTTCAGTTTAGTGGTTTTAGGATACAGTAGTTTAAATTCTCCCATTGCTGCTGCTTATTTGTTTCACAACAGTTTGATTATTAATGCCCATCATGTGACTTCATGGATTACATGTTTTAGAGGTTCTTAATGACCACTGCTTACTCTTTTTCACTGGCTGTTTTTAGGAATGTTTTGGACTCACCTTATTTTTTCCTTTTCTCTCAACCTTCCTTTCAGTTCTTCAATCTGTTTTTGTTTTCTAGGTTCTTGTTTGTGTTTTAGGCTGCTTGCTTCCTTTCCTCTTGTTATGCCAGTAATTGAATTCTTTGATCAGACAGTGCAGAAACAGCTTATTCATGTTAAAATGCAGTGATAACAGAAGCATTACATATCATCAGGCCACTAAATAGATAAAGCAAATGATGTTAGATTGAAAAAATCACTGAGAATTATTTTCTTCTTGTTCTTTCCTATGTCTTGTTTCCTTTTCCTTTCTTATTGAGAATGTTGAATATGCTCTAACAGAACAGTGGTTTGGGGCAGGAGGGGGTGAGGGAGGTGGGTGGGTAACAGTGGTGTCACACTGGTGCTTTTAGCTTATCTGGGGAAGGGGAATGGGTGGGCTGTGTCTTTGGGTGTGACTGCTTGAAGGTGAAGTTAGACCAGTCAGTGCCATGCTTGAGCTGCTCTTTCCATGCTGGTTCTCCTGTGCTAGTTCCACTTGTGGTGGCTTTACAACACTAGATGGGATTTTTTATTTTTATTTTTTTTTTGGTCTAGTACAATTTATTTTCACAATTTTTTTTTTTTTTTTTTTTTTTTACTCTTTCCCTTCCTCTCCACCCCTCCTAGCTATGGACTTTGAAGAACCAACAGTAACCCTTGAATGGGTCTAATGTTGCTTTCAAAGTTATATTTGTATTGCCCCAGAGGCAAAGTGGACTCTTTGCTCCTGGCTTACCTCTGACACGTGGGTGTAACTGAGCTTGGGGTCCTGCCCTACAAACGTGGAAGCAGACACGGCTTAGTAACGTTGATGCAGAGCGAATTTTCCCTGTTTCTTTAGCAGCCAGCCCTTCCCCTTCCCTGCTCCCGGAGCCTCCCGGTGTGGGTAGCCGGCAGGTGGTGCTGATGGATGTGGAGTGATTCCCGTCCCCCCCGCGTCCCCCGGCCAGCCCCGCTCCCCAGCCCCGGCCTCCTGGGTCCCCCTTGCTCTGCACTTCAGTCCTGCTTGCTGCAAACCCCCCCAAAACCCCCCAAACCAACGCGGTGTGGAGCTGGAGCTTACGTGAAAGCTGAGGAGCTGATGGGGGTTGAGGGATGTGCTGCTGGGGTAGCCTTGAAGTAGAGGTAGCGTGAGCAGTGGAGCAGTTTAGTAGCAATAATTAAGACTGAAATAAGCAGGTAAATATTGAAACGAGCTTTGCTTATCAGTCCCTAATAATGACTTTTTAAAACCTTCACAGAATGTCAGTTCACCTTTGAGAAGGCTATAGAGTACGTACCATTCGGTATGTACACTCTCTCCTCTATTTCTACTGTTCCTCTTGGGAGGATTTTTTTTGATTGTACAATACTGTTTTTATGAACATGGAAAAACCCTCTTGCTAAGACAACCTCACTTGACTTCTCAGGAAAAAAAAAAAAAAAAATACTCAATTTGAAATGACCTGCATGAGAGTTTGTATTTCCTGTAGGCTATAGAATGTTAACAGTTTTAACTTACTAATAATACCTAAAGACAATAATTCCAGAATTTGTACCTGTTCTTGTTCGGTTTTTGGGTTTTTTGTTTTGTTTTGTTTTGTTTAAATCTTGTCCATGGTTTTTTTTATGTGTTAAAAACTTTTTGTCTTTTTTATGTCTCATTTTTAGAAGCTGCTAACTTGTGCCAAACCTCCACTGCTGCTACTACGCCTGTGACTCTTACTACTCCATTCAATATAACGTCCTCTGTGGCTTCTGGGACTATCACAAACCCAGTCACAGTGGCAGCTGCAATGAGCATGAGAAGTCCAGTAAATGTATCAAGTGCAGTTAATATATCCAGTCCGATGAACTTAGGGCATCCTGTCACTATAACCAGCCCTCTGTCCATGACCTCTCCATTAACGCTCACCACCCCGGTGAACCTGCCCACCCCGGTAACCGCTCCAGTGAACATAGCGCACCCCGTCACCATCACGTCCCCCATGAACCTGCCCACCCCCATGACGCTGGCTGGTCCCCTCAACATAGCCATGAGACCAGTGGAGAGCATGCCTTTCCTGCCCCAGGCCTTGCCCACCTCTCCTCCCTGGTAAATAAGTTCTAAACAGTATTAAAAAGGATTAAAATGGAATCCTTACCAGCAGTTCTTTTTTGGGTTTTGTTTGGTTGGGTTTTTTTTTTTTTTTTGTTTTTGTTTTTGTTTTGTTCTGTTGGGTTTTTTGTTTTGTTTTGTTTTAGTTAATAATAAATTCAGACTAAGACACTGGGGCAACAACATCAGAGACCGCAGTAGCATCTTCCCCCTGATTTGGCTCACATGGTTCAGGCTTGAGTTTCACTGGAGCACTTCATTTAAAGTAAGTTTTACATTGTAGCTGACAGATGCTGAATTAGAACAGATACTTATTTGCCAGAGTTAAAAAAAAAAGGAAAAAAACCCAAAAAAAAGGTAATTAAAAAAAGCAGTTTTATGTTTTATCCCCTCAAATTATAACTTAGAAAATTATTTTAATCTAAACACTAGCAAAGACCCCTCTGTATCTGTGACAGGGTGGATGGCTCATTTTAACCTGCCAGGCAAGTCCACTGTTTCTGAGCTAGTGTAGAACCTTTGTCTGTGTTGATGTTTTTTTTTTTTTTTTTTTTTTTTTTTTTTTTTTAAAGGAGTAAATGCATTACAATGTTGTCATTTAAAAAAAAAAATGCATTTTTGGAGAAAATATGCATTTTACCTTTGGGAATATGGTAACTTCAGGCAGCATTCCCTATGGGAAAGGTGATACCAGCTCTGATATGCAAAGCATATGATAACTTATCATTCTAACTTCAACATATAATAGGGATTGTGACCTGATATTTGGAGATGTAAATATTACCCAACATATTACCCTAAGGGAATAGAGCATTGTAGTCAACATTTTTTTAAAAAAACCTGTTATTGTTTGGTGAGAAACAGCCATGGCTGACAGAAGAGGAGTCGAAATGTATGTAAACATGGTCTCTGAACAGTCAGACCCCCATGGGACTCTTATCTAGGAGCAAAAGGAGTGCTTGGAAACTTAAGGAAAATTGCTTTAAGCTGGAAGATTCTGGAGGCCCTGGGTGTGATTTTTATGCCCTCTGCCTCCCAGTCAGAGCCTGCTGGTGTTTCAGCAGGGGACAGACGTGTTAGTTGTTCACTAGAAGTTTTGTCTTATATTAAATTGTATACAGTTTTTATTCTAACCACTAACTAGGTAGGATGCCCCTCCAGGACAAGCAGAGAGCGTCTTTTAATTTCTCCCCTATTTCTTAATCAAGTGTTGTGCAAATCTGTTCAACTTTGTAAATATTTGCAAACATCATCATTTTTACGTTATTCTTCTATTGTGTTAACACATTTCTATCAATTTGTGGGAGTTCTGGGGTGCTGAGCTGTCCAGCCCAGAACTGCTCATAAATGGTCACACATGTTTAAGCTACATGTGCTTTTTTTTTTCCTTAACCTGTTTATCTGTACATAAAGTAGAAAGCAAAGTCTAGGGAAACAGATATACTTTTTAGACTATCATGTCACATATTCACATTTTTAAAACTTTGTTTAAAAAAAAAAAAAAAAAAACAACAAACCACCCTAAACCCAACCTCTACATTAAATAAAATTTAAAAAAAAAAAAGAGGAAAAAAAAAAAAATTACAGTTGAGATGTTTTTATCTTAATGAATTTGAGAGCTCTGGAGATTAGAGTGTGCATTTTCACAGAGTGCTAGCAGGACTGACCAGTCACACTGGACTGCTTCCGTTCCTCCCCGGCCGTGTCCGTGCGAGCAGTGATTGCCAGGCTGCTGGCTCAGGTGACAGGTATCTGTATCCTTACGTGGAACTGTTCTAGGGGCTTGGACTACATAGTAAAACAAAAACAAACAAAAAAAAAAATAATAGAGCTTAGTGTAAAATAATTTTATAAATGATCTTTTGTACTTTAGGACATCAAATTGTACAACTTTTGTATATATAAAAGCTTAGGAACTTTCTGTTTAGCAGAAAGGAAACACATTCCTACACTTTTAATGTATATGTTTGTTATAATGTCCATGTAAACATATGCCCTATGTTTGTGCCTTTTAATTAGTTTGTCTCAATAAACAAAAATGTAGAGAAGAATATGTAGCTATGACTTTGTTACCACTGTTCTTACTCCAGGTGTGTAGAGGTCTTTGTTTTGGCCCTGTGTAGAGCCCAGCGTGCACGGCCAGCATGTCCCCAAGCCCGCTGCCACCTCCACACCGTCCTGCATGTTGGGACCTGTAGTTCCCCAGCCATCTCTGCCATCCCTGGCCACGACACCACCTTGCACCAGTTTCCCAAAGTAGGTGTAGCCTTCTGGGTCTGGGTAACCACAGTGATGACCCTTAGGTGAAATTTGGGTATCCCTGAGCTTTTTAAAAAAAAAAAAAAAAAAAGAGAACAAAAGCATTAAAAGCCAATATGAAAATGTGTACTAGAAGTGGTTATCTATGAATTACTTACAATAAACAGGTGTGAGACTTAATTGTATGTTGTCAATTACTGCAGTATTGACAGTGGGTCCCTTGTACAGCCAGCTGTTATTTTTATCCCAGCAGTGTAGCAGTAGAATAAACACATTAAACACCGGCAAGGAAATTTTTCACCGTGACAGAGGCTTCCCAAACCACTAACCACGGTGCTGTTAGCGTGGCGTAGGAAAAGGGCTGTTTCCTTTTTATTTTATGTTGGTTCTGCTCGACTGTACCTGGTTTATGTCCACAAAGCTGCATTAGCTAATTGTCGACCTGTTTCATTTGTACTTGGGTAAACATTTGCTTTGTACCGTGTATTAATGGGTCCGAGGTGTGCTCCTCTGCTGTCTCAGTGCGGACATCGACTTCGCTCTGTAATGCCATCCTTGCAAATACATTAAGCTGTTTTTCTGACAAACAAAAGCTACCTGGTGCAGTAGTTTATACGACGTGCATGCTCCCTGCTGCTCCGTGCCCGGGGATCCGCCGGCACCTCGCAGCGCCGCCGGGCTCGGGCTCTGAGAAAATGGTGGACGCGAAGAACAGATGCTCCTGTTACACCGAGTTAGTTCCTATGCAGCCGATGCGCTTAGCCTAGTTTATTTCATGGAAACTTTTAAGCTGGATGGAATCCAACATGCAGGGAAGCCTATTGCTGCCGCTGCTTCGAGTGGGGTTTATAGCGAGCCCATTCAGGTCTCCGGTTGCAAGGAGTTCAATAGGGGGTTTATTTTTTTCCTTCTGAAGTTTCCGTAAGCGTTCAGCGTGAGGTGAATGGCTTAGCGCCGGCCGAGAGCTTGAGAGCTGGTTTTGCCTTGGAAGGATGCGTGCCGTGGAAAGCCAGAGCAGTCAGATGGAGGGCACGGAAAAGCATCCTCAGGGCAAGGAGGGCCGCGGGGAGGTGGCCACAGGGATGTAAGTATTGCAGCCAGAAATGGGGTACAGGCTGTAAAGGGGCTGGTTTTCTCTTTATTCGGAACACCCCGACACCTCCAGAGAGTGTTTGGGGTGAAGAGAAATTTGGGATTCACTTTTTTTCAAGTGTTACACCCGAGTATTGTAAATTGGGAAAGTTCTGTTCAGTCGTGATGGATCACAGAGAAACACGTTTCAGTCTCAGCATACAAGTTTAATTCTATTAGCCATTGATACAAATAAAACATTTTTCCCTCTTACAACAACTTTTTCCTTAGAGAGGCAAAAGAAAGAAGTATTTAATGCGTTTGCATTTGTCCACAAGAGGTTTAAAGAAAAGCACCCAGACCCCAGTAAGCTGCTGAGCTGCAGCAATCCCAGGTTACATAAAGGGGCCGAGGATTAGCCGGGGCATTCCGGGTGCTGATAAGCCTCCAAGTTCTGCTCGCTCTTCCCTCACTTTTATTTTAGAAACAGCCACTCTGAGCCGTATCCTCAAAACTGCCTGGGGTTCATTTTCAAGGCTGTCAGGGTTAGATTCCCACCAAAGAGAGAAAATTGGAATTTGAAGAACGCTCAGGCTGTTAAAGCATCGAGCACTGTGGTAGTTTCTGTCTCAGGGTCCCTGTACAGGAGCTGAGTTGTTGAGAAATGAATGACAGTTTCTCACTGCTGGGCCCTTCCAAAAACTCCTGCCCTGCTTCATTGGTAGCTTAGTTTATCCATCTCAAAAATAGATTTAACAGTAATTTCAATAGGTAGCTATTAAAAGCTCTTCAAGTTTTTTAATGCCATTGGGGTTTCAGTGCTTAAGTGGACCTTTTAACCAGTGCTTTTTAGGAGAAAAAGTGTAAGAATAAATCTCCTTGTCTCCTAACTGTCATAGAATAAAACAAATTCAACCTGATCCCCTTCTACGTATTTGTATAATTCCAGCATGTTTATACTTCTTGCTTATCTTTGGATTGTTCACTCACAGCTCCCAGCACAGCAGCCGAGGGATGACAGAGGAACTACGTGCTAATTTTTATGTCAAAAATAGCTTTCACCTTTAAAGGCACACGCCTCAGTGGCTGTTTTCTAATTACAAAAGGAATGCCAAAGCTTCTCCCGCGAATCCATTTTACAGCTGTGTTCAGATTGGACTGTCAGCCCCTGGTTAAAATTGAGTGCTGAGGTCCTGACCTAGAAACAAACCTTTTTTGGTATTGCTTTGGAAAGAGTGTTTCAGTGGCGAGGAGCTGAGCCAGGCTGTCCAGCCAGCTCCCTCCACACGCCTGTGACAGCCGCAGCCTCGGTCCTTTCATCGGCCTCTGCACCGCCCTGGAGCCCAGACCAGGACCTGGGCAAGCCAGGCTTATCATTCTTAAAAAGAATACTTTTTTTGTTGTTGTTCTTCAGGTTTCTGGGCTAGTCTAGTGGAATGTGTCCCTGCTGTTGGTGGGGGCTTAGAGTGAGATGAGCTTTGAGTTTCCCTTCCAGACCAAACCGTTCCATGTTTCTGGGATTTTTAGAAGTCCCAGCTTTTCCTTTAGGGAAGCATCAGTGCTTTCTGAAAACCAGACATTTGGCATCTGCAGTTCAGAGCACAGACCTGTGCTTTCCTTGCAGAGCACTTACAATCACTGCCTCACAAACCGACCCATTTAGTAAAAAATAGGGCATTTTCAGGATGTGTGAAACCTTTTGTTTTCCAGAGAAGTCAGAAATATTCCATTCACCTTTTCACCAGCTGTCAAGATGAACCATTTCTGTTCTGTGTTTTCTGTGCAAGGTTTGTTTTTCAGGGAATTACCAATTTTGTTGGAATTGGCTGAATTAAATTCACTATTTTAATTCTTCATAGTTGTGTATTTCTATGCCCATTTCTTTTTACTTCCTAGCATCATTAGCAGCTAAGACCTATATCACAGGGATATAAAATTGCCTGTTTTCCCTGAAACAAGCCTGGATTAGGAGGAGATTGCAGCCACCAAAGCTCACTGCAAGGCGCTGTGCCTCGGAAGAGTCAGATCTGCGCTAACTTGGGGAAGAGAATGATGAGGCACATGTTCAGTAGGCGCTGAAAACCGAAGGTTTGCCTCCAGTATTTCCACTCCTACTCTGTGTTCCCTGTCAGAGCCTTCCACATCTTCACCCAGGACTGCTCAGCTCCCAGACACAGATGAAATGATGGAGCAGGACAACTCTCAGCACAAAGAGCTGTCCTGTCAGAGCTCTGGACCACCCCACACATGTGTTCGGGCTCCAGCACCCGCAGCCGTGCACCCGAGCAGTCTCTGGCTGTGGCAGGGTGCTGTGGGAGGCCGTGGTGCCCAGCAGTGTGGAGTTCTTCCCGCAGCATGTCTGGAAGGTTTGGAGAGCCAGGAGGGAAGAGGAGGCTCTGAGCTGCTGCCGTTCGCGGTCTCGCTCTGCTCTCTGTGGAACGGGGAGTGTTTGCCCTGTGTAAACGGGCTCCTGTAATTTGTAAGAGGAGATCGCTTCCCGTCCCGAGCTGTCAGCCAGAGCGTGCGATACAGGGACGGCTGTTTTCTGTCTGCTCCGAGTGATGCTTGGTTACAACCCGTCTGGGATGTTCAGCTGAGGGGCAGCAGGGCTGTCTCCCCTCCTTACCACGAGACTGGAGGTCCAGGCTCCAGAAGCCTGGGACTCCCCAAAGGTGTGGAAGAGGCTGAGTGCCAGCCTGGAAATCTGGGATGGGTCCGTCCATCCATCCATGCATCCACGGGATCTCGGGATGCTGCTCCCTCCACACACCGGCCCACAGGCCACTCAGGGCCGGAGGCGCTGACCCCATGGCTGGAGGCGCTGGGGAATCCTGGGGACAACGGGGGGACCCCGAGATCCCCAGGACCCCATCGGGGCTCTCTCACCTCGGGGAGCGGCGGGGCCCGGGCGGTGCCGCCGCTCGATGCCCCCGGCCCGGCCGAAGCGAGCTCCACGCTCCCCGCGGGGGGACTCCGGCCCGGGGGACCCCGCAGCGGTCCCGAGCGCGTGCGGAGCCCACGGGGCGGCGGGGGCGGCCGAGCCCACCGGGCGGTGTGGGGCCGAGGGGGCCGTCCCGGCTGGGCCAGGGGCCATCCCGCGAGGGGCCGGGCGCGGGCCGGCAGGCTCGGCCTCGGGCAGGACCGCGTCCCTCTCAGTCCCGGAGCATCGCCGGTCCCCGAGCGTGACCCCTCCGTGCCAAACATTTGGTGGCTTCCCGCTGCTGGACATCGTCCCTGTCTCCTGTGCCGCGTCCATGGAGCAGCACGCCTCACACCCCGCCATCCCCGCCGGGTGGGCATCACTTGGTGCAGGAATTGGCGGGTGTGCCGCAGCTTGGTGGTCACCTCCTGGGTGACCAGGGTCATTTGTGAGCCCCCGACCGGGTGTCCAGCTCAGCCAAATCTGTCATCCTCCTTAAGGATGGAGGGCACCATCCTGGCAGGCTGATCCTCACCTGGGGTTCCCGTCCAGCGCTGAAGTTGCTGCCAGTGGGTTGTGGGCAGACAGCGATGGAGAAGGAGGCAAGTGCACCGCTCAAAGCAGTGCTCTCCTGCACCGTCTGTCTCTCAGGCGGGTTGGAAAGGCTCTTTTTTATTATTTTCTTAAAAAGCAGTGGAGTCGCACCTCCTCCTCACACCTCCTCCTGCTGCTGCCACTGACAACAAACACGGGGGCTGGAGCCGTAAGGATTTCCAGGGAGGAACCACCATCCTGGGCTGACCCCTGAGGCTGCCGCTGGGGCTTTGCCCTGCGGCTGGGGAAGCTGTGGCTTTCCTCACATCCTCCTCCTCCTCCTCCATCTCCAAGAACACAGGCTGAAGCGGCATCTGCTGCGCTGAGAAGCTTTTTGTGGTTTTCGCAGAGGTTTTCCTGTGGAAGTGCTCGGCGGGAGTGCGGCACTGGGGCAATGAGACCCCAGGGGAGCCCTGTGGGAGCGCAGATTGCCTGGTGCTGGTGGTGGGAAGCTTTTGGTGGGAAGTTTTGGGGGTTATCATGGCAGAGGAGACCCTGCCATCACCTCCTGGTAGTTGTGCACCTGTGGCCTTTCCCACCGTGTATCCAGCACCCCGTGCTGAGGGTGTGCCTGATGCTGGCACAGCTTTGTGCACCAATTCCTGCCTGCCAGAGCCTCTGACAGCCAAAATTATTTCTGTCAAAGGTGCCCGTCCTCTTCCCAGCCACGGAGTCCCTGGGAAAGTTTGAACTTTCCCAGCATTTTATTAAAAAAGAGCTTTCAGATGAGAAGAAAATGAACAAAACCTGACGGCATTGGTGGTGTGGCTGAGGGGTTTTCCCAGCATTTTATTAAAAAAGAGCTTTCAGATGAGAAGAAAATGAACAACCTGATGGCGTTGGTGGAGTGGCTGAGGGGCTTTGCCGTGGCACTGGAGCTGGGGTGCCCTGAGCCCCGGGGAGCAGCAGCACCCTCAGAGGGGGTGCTGGAGCTTACCTGCCTGCAACAGCACCCTCTGTGCGGGCACAGACAGCAGGGCGTGCTGGGGATGCTGGCATGGGGAGTGGGAAAGCCAGGAGGGGATCACAGGGTCATTCATGGTCAGGGTCTGTGCCGTGAGGGTAAAACCCCAGGTGGGACGTGTGGGAAAGGGGCTCTGTCCTGGTCAGAGCTGGGAGTCTTTGGGGCAGCACAAGGTGATGGTAATCGATAACTATAAAATAAGAAAAAAACTTGAAATAACAGCACAGGGGCTTTCAAAGGTGTGCGAGGCAGAGATGGGTCCCTCTCTTGTTGTGGTGGCAACATCTGTGTCACCGTGGAGGGACAGTGGCTGGAGCCTCTCCTCTGCTCAGTGGCACTGGGCTGGCAGCAGCGGTGTGGGGACCGGCTTTTCCCGGGTCTGGTTTGGCTGTTCTGCCCATTCCCGGGGCCAGCACGGGAGCTGGATGGGCACAGCAGCGACCCGTGAATGGAGTGGGAAGTTGGAAGGAGAAAGCAACCCACCCAGCTGGGTGGAAAACTGGCCGAAAATAACAGGAAATGAGAACAGGGGGAACATCTGGGTCCAGCTCTTGCACCGCTTCCGACGGGCGCCGAGCAGCTGCCGCGGCGGCTGTGGCTCCGTCCCCACGGCTGTCCCAGCACACCGGCCACCAGCCACCCTGTCCCCCTGGCCCGGGGGTCCCCCGGAGCTGGGGGTGCCGTGGGGGGGACAGGCTGCGGTGCCCCCGGCCCGCCCCGCCGGCCGCCTTTGATGCGGGTGAGTGGCAGGTCCATTGTGGCCTCTTTGTGCCTCCCTCGGTTCTCCAGGTCTGCACAAAACCTGCCATGGAAACCAGAGGCGGCCGCTGCCCCAGGAAACCCGCAGGCGCAATTAGGAAATGCAAATAGGAATGCAAATTCCTGCCTCGCCTTCCAGGGCTCCGAAAGTTGTCCCTGAGCCACCGATGTCCCCAGGCCACTGATGTGCCCAGTCCCCATCCCCGTGGGGATGGGGAAGGTGTCAGAGCAGGGCCAGACAGGCAGGGAGAGCAGCAGTGAGCTGCTTTTGGGGTGCCTCAGACCTTTTCCGGGGTCTCCCCACGCTCGTGGTGGCAGGACCGGGGCATCTCGACCCGTGCTGAGCGGTGACTCATAGGTGACAATATGACATTGACATTTTTTCCATCCTCTCTGTTGCCCAGCGACAAACAAACAAACACGTGTGTCTTCAAACCCACAGTGGCTGCCTTGCAGGGACTGTCCCAGTCCCTGAGGTCTGCCTGGATCTCTGGGGGTTGCTTTGGGGAGGTAGAACTGTCCCACACCCCTGCTTGGGGGCTGTGAGCCTGGCAGAGGCAAGGCAGGCTGCCCACTTGGCAGTGAGGACCCTCCCCACCAAAGCACACTGGGAATAGATGGGAAAGGAGATAAAATCCACCCACAAATAACTCCAGGAAACACAAATTCTCCAGGTTGTCCTTTCTAGGTGGCATTTATGAGCACTGGAGATGCTGGCTCTTCCTCAGGTCCCCAGAGCAGGGGATAATGGGGCTGAGGAGGATGGAGAGTGGAGCAGTTCAGGGTGGATGCTGATCTGAGCCATTCCCCTCCCTGGCAGGAAGCAGTAAGGTTTTCTTTTCCATCTGCTGGAGGAGCCATAACTCAGAGCCAGGAAGCCAAGACTGGCACATGGAGGGCATCATCCACAGCAATAATCCATGTGGGGAATGGCAGATCCTTTGTGCCCTGATCTGGGCCTAATCTACAGCTGTGCCACTAAAAACCAAGCCTTGTTGATGGCTTTTAGTTTTCCAAGCTGCAGCCCCTGGGTGCTTTCCTATCGGCGGCTGGAGTGGTGTGGGATGTGCATCCCCATTAGTGGTACATTTTTCCAGCTCCAGCCTGCTTTTATTGCTGGGAAATGAGCTCTGACTCCTGGAAGTGGTATTTCTTCCTTCTGCCTGACAGCTGGTCGATCCCTGGCCTGGCTCTCACTTCCCCAGGGAAGGCACACGCCGATGGGCACACAAACATGCAGGAGGGAGCCTGGCCCTGTCCTTGGCACAGGAAAGCAGGGCTGAGCAGGGAAAACAGGGAGATCATCTCCAGCAAATGGAGATGGGTCACTGGGAACACGTGCTGGGGCCATAAGGCAGCACTGGGGATGGGGGACAGTCTCTGGGGAGGATTCCCAGCTCCTGGAGCCTAAACTGTTCCTTCTAAAATCCTTGTGGCTTTTACCCTCCCTGGCTGGTGATTGCCACGATCAGTGCAAATCAGCTGGGATGAGGTGTACCTGAATTAGTCATGCAAATTTAAAATTAATGAAAGAGAAGCAAGACTGAATTTTGAAGAAGAACATGACCTGTTGTGGTGGCTGGGCCCAGCACGTGGCTGTTGGCAAAGGGGGCAACAAGCAGAGCCACTGCTGGGGGTCTGGGTCCCTTTGCTACCCAGAACTGTGCTGGCACAGGAGTGACTCTACTGCTGAGGAGACTGAGAGTTTCTCTGAGCCTTGGCTGGGCTTCATAATCCAGGTTAGTGTCCCGTGTAATTTCTGTGATGTGCTGTGATGGAGCACACTCAACGTTCCTCCTCTCAGGGCGTTTCTCCACCCCACAATTCGGGTTGTGCCGGGATGGAGCAGCCTGTGCTGGTTGGCAGGAGGGGCCTGACGTGGGGCCTTAATTAAATACCTGTCCCTGGTGAGGTGTAGCCTTTCAAGCAGGTTCTCCTCTGCTGAGCAATGTCACCCAGCACGAGGGAGGACAAAAGCCCGGTGCAATTACAGTGTGACACTGTCCCAGGACAGCGAGGGGACGGCAGCGCTGGCTTGTTGGCTCGGCACTTTCCTGGGATAGCTTGCATCCGCCATATGGCTTAGTGACTCATGAAAAAACCCTCCTCTGTTTGTGTTCCTTTCTTCCCTGCCTCTTGGTGAGCACAGTGCTGAGAGGCTCTGGCTGGTCCAGCCCTCAGGCTCACGCTGGCTGTCAGGGATGGATGGGTGACCACGGCGTGGCCGGTGCGTGGCAGGTGGACATCAGGCAGTGACACTTTGTGCCCTGCATTGCTGCTGTGGTGCAAGGGGCTGGGATGGGGGAAGCGAGGGGGGAAGCCCTCCTCCTCTCCCTGGGGACCCTGGAGGCTGTGGATGTGGTGAGGGAGGTGCAGGACCTTCCCACCACACACATGGCATGGAAACCCAGGGCCTTTCATCCTCCCTGGCTGTGGTTTGGTCCCTGAGGGAAGGGGGATCACAGCAGCCACTCTGTGATCACCTTTAAATCTTCTCAGCAGCCCCTCTGGCCAGGGGCCTGTCCTGGTGAATAATTCACCGTGTGCTGGCAGGGAGAGTTTTACTCCACTAATTTTGTTTCCATAGAAACTCGTGCGGTCTGTGCTCCAGAGCTCCGGGTGAATCAATACGGGATTTTTCCTCTGCGCAGTGAGCGACGGCCCTTAAACCCTGGTGGCAGGAGAGCAGCCCCCGGAGAGGCTGGAGGCTGGGCCTGCTCTGCACAGCCTGTCCCTGCCTGTCCCTGCCTGTCCCTGCCTTTGTGGGGTGCCCAGGGACAAATCCTGCAGAGATGCTGTGCACCAGCCTGGGGCAGGGTCAGCCCATCTCATCCCAGCCCATTCCAGTATGTTCCTGCTCTGCAGAGAGATGGAGGGGAAGGGACTGTCTCTACTCTTTCTCCCTTTTTCCCTCCTATCCTTGAATTTCTGTGACCCTTGACCTATAATGGCAAATTAGCAATTGGAATCAGCCACACTAATTATCCAGGGAGCGGGGTCGGCCCTGTCCCCAGCTGGGTTCATGTTCCCCCACTCCCTTCTATTACTGCCCAAA